CAGCGGTTTCAGCATGAAAGGGCCAACCGCCCAACCCCAGCTTCAGTGCCACGACACGGGGCCTTTGCAAAGTCCCCAGTCAGCCCCAGGTTTCTCCGCGAAAGTGGCACCAAGGTTGGGTGGCAGTTCGTTGCAGGCAAATGCTCATGTAGCAAGACGTGGGGGACCAGGCACATGTTTTGCTATCCTGATTTTGTTGGTTAGAGAAATATTGTTTGCTCGTCAGTATGTGTCTTTGAGCATGTATTATATGCTCAACTTGTTTCATGATCCGTAGTATGTCGCATCCACCTCAAAGAGTGAGCGCATGCTCCCACCTTTGTGACGAATTCAATGAGTCTTCTGCCTGGCAATTGTAGAGCTGGACGCTTGCTGGCTTTGTGTTTTGAACGGACTTAATGGGAACGCATGATTGCTACCCCCATGGTTGATGAATAGGAGGTGTTCAAATTTAGAGGGAACTCTTCACCTTTTTTTGGGAAACACCCCACATTAATCTACCAGGTTGATTGGGGTGTTGCCAAAAATATGGCCGGTTCCGTTTTGGCCCCTGGTGCTGCCTTTTTTGCCGCCTTGCAAAGGCGTACCACAAAGGCCCTGATTTTGAGCAATGGAGTTTTAAATGGGGACTCCTCAAAAGTGGTTGGACGCAAATCTCGGAATTTGATGTCTACCGGGGTCCAACCACTTGAAGTTCATATCCATGTTTCCTCTTGGTTTCCCACTAAATGACCCGAAGGGTACCTCGAATTCGCGCAGAACCAGCAGCTGGCGGAGCCAAAGACCTTCGTGGCCACCTCAGAGACCCCAATGTTGGGTTTCGTGATCATTTGTGCCGGGGCATCGGGGCGGGGGTGGAGGCGTTGGTTTTGGGGGTAGTGTTTTTGATGGTTGTCGTTGTTTTGGGTGGTGTGTGCTTTGTTAGGCTGGGTTGGTTTAAAGGGAAGCCAACAGGACGACCATTTTGGGTCCAAATCCCCATTTCGACCCCTTCCCCTTGCGGGGTTGTTGGGACTACGATTGAAAAGACTGGCTCGGAGGTGTCAAGAACAAGAAGTGTCAAAGCCATGGGCAGTCGACGTGCTCTAACCTCACGGTAGTGGGTGGTCCTACGTATTATATATATATATACACATGTGTCAAGATAAGGGACCCCCAAAATGAGTGGTTTGCGATTGGTGTCCATTTAATCCAACCTGGAAAGGATACCCTCAAACAAAGAACAAACTCATACTATGTTTGCGGGGTACTTCACAGTTGCAAGAGATCCAATGAATGCAAGCACGACCCTGGCCCATTCAAGGGCTTTGACAGCTTTTGCTTAGGTTGAAGCTGCTGATCAAAAATGCACAGATCATGCATGTATTGTTAGTGAGGAGCGGAGGAGGGGTTCTCTTGCAGGGGCCACATGCATGGTGCTCTTGAACTACGCTCTTATTTGGTCCTCATGGAAGCACACTTGGGTATGTGTCAAATGAACTAGGAGGACCCCCAATCTGTTGGTTTTCCTTGCAGCCAACTCCAAAATGAGTAGCCTTGACAAAAACACATGGCCGTTTCGTCCTGTTTTGCTTTATCTGTCCTGACGGGTACGCCTACAGTGTATCCATTCAGATGCTGCACAAATCTCAGAATTATATACTTGTTTTGTCTGCCTATTTTATGGCAAGCTCACCTGTGGGTCAAAAGCGCTTACCATGATGTAAGTCCTTTACTTGGAGATCCCTTATGTCAGATTTGGAATCATGGATTTGATTCACTTCGACAACAGACGTGGCGTGAGCTGATTTTGACCTGCGCACTTCGCAGGTCTTGGACAAACATGCAAAGGAAGGCACTGCTTACGCTCCCGACTCAGGATTTCGCCGTCTTGCTGACGTGCAAATCGCATATGTGCCATGGTCGAAAGCCCCTTTGTCTTGGGGTTGGTGGGAAGATCATGGAATTGTGTTGGGAATTTGGACGCCAATGCCACGGTTCCTAGTGAGGGGGCCAGGACCACCAGCGCCATGCACAGGCTGACGTTTGCAGAACATGGGCTTGAAGTCATTCATGTGTTTTCGAACAAGTTGGTTTGTGTCTTGGGTGAACACCACGTTGCCTTTCCGTTTGGGTTTCTGAAGTACTTTATAAAAGCTCTCTGATGTATGGTGAATTTGATTGTTTCCCCTGCGCCTGGTGGTTCAAGCAATGCTTTGGGCAGTGAAGTGTATCCCGTTGATTGCACTTCGCTGCACATTGGCCGATCGCGCAGCCTGAGGTGACAAAGCTTTTTACCAATGATCGACTCTCTCGAGAGGCTGTCCCGTGCGTCCCGCGCAAAGATGCCGCGGCGGCCAACAATTCCGAAGATTGCAATGCATGCCCCTTCGTGGCTGTTGCTTCAGAGCCTCCACAAATGAATTTGAAGGGATGCCAAGTTGTTGCAAGAGTTCGTAGGATGAGTCAAAGTGAAACATTCGTGGTTACAAGCCGAAGTAAAGGGGCCCTATTTTGACCCACAGGGACGTGTGTGTACAGTTGCCCACATAATTTCAGCGGTGGCAGCGATCGGCGATTGATTTTCTTGTTGGACCTCGTCACATTGAGCTTGTCTCATGCAGTAGCTTCACTTTTGCAGTTTGGTGCAGATTTAGCAGGAGAGATCGGTGGCCGACCAGTCCTTGCCGAATGACTTCTAAAGTTTGACAACCAGTCTAAGATCGCTCGGGCATGAATGGCATAGATGGTCTTAGTAGTGGTTCGCCTCGTTGAGCGAGCACATTCAGAGCTCTGTCAGAGCAACGCAGGGAGCACTCCAAAAGGGTCCCATCCGTATGAGCTTTGGTCAAATCGACGAGAAGTCTATGGGTTGCCAACGATATGGGTGGTGACTTGAATTGACCCCTCACGGAACCCAGGGAGCGAGCATCATAGGTGATATATATATATAATACACATGTTCTTTTCATACTATTCCGTTTGAACACTAACCTTATGAGCCTTGTCAGAAATGGGGTGTGTTCAAATGAACTACCAAAGCGTTGAGCTGGTCGGGGTGAATCGCCATGCCAGTACTGGCATACAAACGCGAATAAACATGCATGAGCTCATACCATGTAATCATGCCGAACAAACATATAAAGGGGTAGAACCATGTATACACCTGTAAAATCAAGCATGTATACAATAGTACGTACATACATGTAGAATATACGCACCACTGATCTAAAAGGGTTTGCAAACACCAAGCCGCTGCCTCCTAGAGAGAACAGGGCATACAACCACTATACAGCCAGCATGTGAAGGGCACGCACCCCACCCCAGTTACGGGACTTTGATCTTGTGGGAAAGACCACTTTGGTGGTACACAAACAGCTTGGACTTTTTTGCCACCTCCACCAGGAAGTGAGACACCGCAAATAAAACCCTGGGTGTCGTGGTTTGGGTGTAGCTTGGGTGACCCTAAATGGGTTCCAACAATCGGGTTCCTTTCAGATGCTCACACATGATTGTCATTTGGTGGCGATAGGAATCCGTTTGTTAGAACCTGTTTTTGCAGGGCCCCTGAGCTATGTCAGTCATGGTCATGGTGTTCTCAGTGGGAACCCTCATAAATATTTTTACAGGCCTGGTGGAACATATCACCCTATGTGTTTTGTCCATCTATGGAGGAATTCAACGTCGCCTCTAAGTTTCCCATCTCAAGCGAGTTTCCTTCAAGTGAGGTGATGCTTAGGGAGCCCGTTGGAGCCCCGCAGGCCTTCACCTTCCTGGCGCCCGAGAGCGCCTCCGACGATGTGGCCGGGGACCAAAAGCTCTCGAAATGGGTTCGTCTTCACTTGGGGGAAGTGCTGCCCCTTTTGAAGTTTTGAAAGGAAACGAAAGGAAGGCGAAAGGAACGCATACCCAGCTTTTTTTCCTTTTTTTTTTCCGGGGGTGGGGGGGGAAGGGGGAACCGGTGGCCTTGTTGAATGGTATATTTGTGTGTGCTTGTGATCGTGGACTCAAAGGGAGCCGACAGGATAACCACTATTTTCGGGGTCCCCCAATTTTACTACATACCCAACAAAGAATGGCAATCCGGGTGGAGGGTTCCCTTCCATTTAGAAGTCTGTGTTTTTGTTGAGGGTGCCCTGTTTACGGTTGGGATTCTTGTGGCGTTCCCTTCACCAAGCAGCCAAAACGGGTCTGCAACATTAGGACACGTCCAGAATGAAAGGCATCAAATTAGAGAGCAACCAAATGGCTGTGCAACGGACGCGCTCCGCATTGGCTATGAATCATTAAGACAAAAGGACTCCTTTTGCCATAGCGGGTTGTCTCCAAATGTCATACAGACCCCCCCCCCAAAAAAAAAAAGTGGTTTCCACTTGGCACCCCGTTTCAAAAAATCCAAGGTCAACGTCACAAGAAGAGCCATTTTCTACCACCCACCAACGTAGGCAGTTTGGAAGGTGCTCAAACATATGTTTGCAGGTTGACGACAGCTAAGCCAGTTTTTGACAGGTGTCGCGTTTGCAGTTTGGGCAGGCTGTTTGTTTGGATGTGATATTATATTGTCAGATGTTGGCATAATGTTTGGAGTCGTGTTTCGAGGGTGTGTTTCGGGAATGGTTTGCTACTCATCGCCCTCATCATGCGCGCGGATGCATTCAGGGGAGCTCTGAACTTTCTTGTTTACATCGCTGCATGTAGCAATGTGAATCTTTTCCTGCTAATCATCATTGAAGCATGCCCTACACAGATTCTATCAAGCGTATTCCAGCTTGCACCAAAGGATGTGTAGCATCCTAGAACCCGTTTGTCAGAACCCATTCGACAGGTCACCCAAAATAGCTTTGCACGCATGTTGTTTTGCGCGGAACCCTTTGCCTGCGCCTACTTTTTGCTCAGAGGCCTTGAGGCAACCGCTCCTCGGGCCAGTCACGCCTCCAATTACTATCCGGTAGTGCCTTCATAGCGGGCGGAAAGCGCGCGGTTGTCCGCCCTTCGCCGGCCCGCGCGAAACACAACGCAGCATGTTGATACCAATGAGTGCAGACCCTTCTGGCCCTGTGCCAGAAGTTGTGAAGACCGTGCACGTATATGGCTGGCGCCCTGGCACAAGATTTCAGACCGAACTTGTTCTCAGTGTCTCAGCTGATGAGTAGAGCTGTGTTTGCCCTTGCAGGTATGTGATCATTTTCTTGCTGTCCTTCCTGTCAGTGGGCGAATGTATAGCTGGAGATGCCTTTGCTGGCATCATCTTCTCGATCATGGCTGGGATCGTGGTCTTTCTCCTTGTTGACGGCTGCAAGAATATGTCCATGTAACTTTCGGTCTGCATTGGGAGAGAGGTTGGCGAGGAAGAAAGAGGTCCAATGTTGCGGATTGTTTAACGAGCAGCTCCCTGAAGTGTCGCTTTTGTGTGTGTGTGTGCGCGCATAACAGGAGCAGACCCTTTTGTTCAGTCAGCAAGGCTACGAGGTAGGTGTTTCGCTTTTAGTGGCCGATTGAAGGGAACCCGTTTTACATACACTGTGGTTTTCCGGCTATGTCATCCATTTGAACAAATAGATTCCCCCGATTTCGAATAGTTTCAACTAGGTTTGCACTTTTGCACCGCATTTGTTTATCCTAAAAGCGGGTCTTCCACACAATCCTCAGATTCTGGGTCAGGTTCTCACGGAAAAGGATTCACTGATATCAATCCAAATCCCACAGGTCATATCCATATGACCATGAAGCACCTCAAAAGGGGTTGACCCTGAAACCGAATTTGGATGTCCATTCGGGTTCCCAATTGTCCATTCACCTGAGCGTTGACCTATCCCTGGACCACACCCCAGATACCCAGGCGAATGCCCCAAATGTCCCCAAGCTCCAGTGTGTAGCTCAGCCCCTTGAATTTAGCAACAACAACGGTTGGGGGGACCCACTTTTGGTAGGTTTTCAAAGGGAAGCCAAACCAGACACGTTTTGAGGGTTGCGATTCTCACGAGACAAACCCAAACGCACCGTTGGGTGTTTCGTCTCAGGTACTGCCTTTTCATGCTGGGCACTATGTCCTCCTTCCAATGCTTCTTCGACTTGCTGGGTCTGATCAGCGTCTCTGACTCCAGAATTGGGCCTTTTGACCTTTGACCTTTCCCATTCTTTGTTTTCCAACGGGCGCCCTTTTCGTTGGTCAAGGTTCCTGAAAGGGAACGCTGTTACTTCCAGTGTTCTCCCATCCGGGAGTTGTCCAAGAGGCTGGGTCAAGGCCGGTCTTTTCGATCCGTGAGGCGTGGTGGGTGGCCGAGAAACCTCAGAGTCCACCATGCAGGGCACGGACAAGGACGTGACGGTCATTACGCGGATCACAGTGCACCCCTTCTTTGATCCCAAAATGGGCCGCTTGGAGAGAGTTACTCCGGCAGTGTGTTGTTGAAGATGCGTCCAAAACGCCACCTGCTTGTGGAAAGGGGGAAACCCCTTGTGCGATGATTTGGGTGCTACCTGTTGAGCAAGATGTAAATCATCCCAACATGTCGATGTTTCATGACAAAATTAAGCCCTTGCAGGGTTCCTTAAAGGATACATCCAAAAAAACACCTGCTTCTCAGCTGGTAGTAAAGGTGCTTGTTGACTGGTTCAAATGCACTTTCACGCCTCCGGCTCAGACCGCCGACATTACTGGCCGCTTTCTTATATGTGTTTTACAGGTACAGTGCCACAGGAGAAACTCCATTTGGGAAGGGGCCTGTTTTTTGGTCTTGTTTGTTTATGTCTTTTTTCCGCCGGATGGCAATACGGAATGGGTGTTTGTTTTTTGCTTAGCCCTGTCTTTTGCTTAGCCCTGTCCGACCCGGTTGGTTGGTTGGTTGGTTGGTTGGTTGGTTGGTTGGCTGGCTGGCTGGCTGGTTGGCTGGTTGGTTCTCGGCATTTCGGCCTTCGGAACCGATTTCCGGATGGGGCATTAGTCACTCCATTGCCTGGCCCCCCGAAAGAGCAGCACACAAAGCCCACTCTGTTTTGGACTTCGGGACCGACCGCTGGAGAATAAAATGCACGAAGCCTTCAGCCAGTACCAGCGGGTGCACATGGAAACTCAATACTGGACGCCCTTGGCTGTCGCGTTGTACTATTGCTGTAGCGGAAGAGTGTCTAGGCACCAGGCTTCAGCCAGTACCAGCGGGAGTGCATGGCTAAGAGTGGACTTGTGAATGCCAAACATACAGCAAAAGAGAGACACCCCCCGCGCGAACTGGCGGCCCAGCATGTCAAATGATGATAATTTTGGTGGCTTTAATTTCTCGTGCATTTTATTCTCCAGAAGTCGGTCCCGAAGTCCAAAACAGAGTGGGCTTTGTGTGCTGCTCTTTCGGGGGGCCAGGCAATGGAGTGACTAATGCCCCATCCGGAAATCGGTTCCGAAGGCCGAAATGCCGAGAACTGTTGCACTCTTACTGTCCAGAGCGTGTCCCAACCAAGTAGCTCCGGGGAATGAAACTGAGCCCCAGAACGGAGACAGGGTTAAGCAAAAGACAGGGTTAAGCAAAAAAAACACCGTACCCATGGCAATACCAGTAATTAGCCATGTGTTTCACACGTGCAGCGCGTGTAGCAGAGAAAATAGTTAAGAAGCTGTCTTGTTTTCATTTGTTTGCAATATTTCCTCTGGAAAGGCCCACACAGGGCGTCGCAGAACTTGAGTAGGGGCCTTTGACTTGCCTCAGTTTGTCCTTGTTGTTTGCTGGCTGAGGATTTGTGTTGTTGCTTGTTGGTAACTTTGTCCTTTTTTGTTTGGAAAGTCCCAAGAAGTGATGTATCGGGGTTCTACTGATTGCATCAGGGCCTGTCCTGTTGATGCTTCTTGTGTTTTGCTTTTACTTGCTATCATTCACCGGAGGCCATTGGTTTGCCTGCGTTCCCTAGCTGGCGATGCGCATTGCTATTTGCAGTTTGACTGGGTGGTACTGATGCAACCCAGTCCTGCGGACGCTTCTGGCTTTTTGTTTTGTTTTTTCCCATGGACAGGTCCCCGCTATGACTTGAGTAGGAACCTTTTGCTTGCCTTTGTTTGTTCATCTTGTTTTGCCTAGCTGGTTGTTTTTTGCAACTGCCTCTGTTTTGACGCCCCCAGAAGTGATGGATGGGGTGCTACTGATGCAAGAAATCCCTTCGCTGACGCTTCTTGTTTGATTCCTTTGCAAAGGCTCCACAGGACTTGAGTAGGGACCTTCGGTTTGCCTCCGATTGTTCAAGTTCTCACCCGTTGCTGGGGAGGTGTGCTGTTGTTTGCTTGTACCAAGCATGTAGAGAAGTCCCTGCAACACATGAGTAGGGACGCTGGGTTTGCCTTTTGTTTGTTCAGGGTCTTTCCCTAGCTGGGGACGCCTATACTATTTTGTTTGCAATGTCCTCGCTTATTTGGGACAGCCCCGTGCAAGACACGAGGAGGGACCCTTTGGTTTGAAATTGTTTGCCTCTTTTTCGAGGATGTTTCCCTGGTTGCGCATGCCTGTAGGTGTTTTTTTTTGCACTTTTCCCAGCTGATTTGGGAAGCATCCCAAAAAACACAAGTAGAAGCCTTTTGTTTGGACCTGATGTTCCTGTGTTCCACGAATGCCATTCTGCTGGTGATACTGAGGGTGATGCTGAGGTGCAACTGAATTGGACAGTGGGTCAGGGGCAAACGAACACCTCAAGGGTTTTATGCATCCGCCTCGATTGAAAGAACTTTTATCTACGAACAGGGACCGCCTGGGAATCACCCAGTGGTACGAGGCCGCCACTCCAGCCACGGAGTTTCATGCAAGCAGCATTTCAACACGCCGTGTGTTGTGGGCGGATTCTTGAAGGGACCCCGGAGATCTTTAAGCGGCCTCGGGGGGAAAACAAAAAACGGGTGTTACCTGGAGCCAGGCCAACAACCCCATGAACCTCCGAAGCCGCTCCTCGCGTCGGTGGCTATGGTCCCTGATGTCCCTGTACAAACGAATAAGGGTTGTTTAAGTTGAGCGTCCGGCTCTGAACCACAACCGATTAAGACACAGGAGGGTCCCCGAAGTGGCGATGTTCCTCAGATCTATCTTCGCGTTAGATCTATCCCCACGTTTAGGCTCAAAATGAGACACGCCTCATTGGGTCAAATTTGATGCGCCAAGCAGCCACACGCGCCATCAAATCAGGTGTGTTTGATTGCGGGAATGATTCATTTGCCACCTCGCTGTGGGAATCTGACAGATCTGACAAGGCACACTGGAAAAGTGTTTTGAGAGTTAGTATGTTGTTTGTCAAAGTGCACCTAAAGCTGGGCGAAACTGGGCCTGAAATTGGGTGTGTGAGCACACCTAACCCATTCGGTGTTCCAGTTTTCACTGAAGGCAACGCAGAAAAAGGTTGATTTCGCAACGATGCGCAGCTTGCGGCACGCATGTTGCATGGCTGAGCGGAGGCCAGCAGTACAACGCCCAGTCTTCGATGATGGTGGCGAGTCCTGGCATTATGCTGGCTTGCACCTTCATGTGCCGCCTGGCAAGCATCCTCGCCGCCGGGCCCGACCTGGGGAAGGGGGGCAATTGCAATTGATGGTTCCATGTTCCGTTTGTTGGGAAGACTGGAGCAGTGGAATGCGGGACCGGACCTCCACCCCTGTGCCGGGTAGGGGGAATCAAGCATGCAAGCTAACGGAATGAGATTTCTGCATGGGTTTGGTGTTGCGCCAAAAAATTGTTGGCAACGTGAAGAATTGATCGTCTTCAGATGGACAAATCATGTGAGGCTCAGTTGTCAGGTAAGGCCAACTACTATGCAGAAGCTTCTGTGCATGCGCATGGCTTTGTGTCCATTCAAGTTGTTAGGGTTTTTGAGGGCTTCTCAGAGTTACTCTCGAGGCTTCATTCCGTTGACACCACCGTCTAGAACTGAGTGTCGAGGATGTTTTTCTACGGACCCAGTGGCAGGTTACTTGTCATACAATGCCTTTTCGGACTCCCTCTTCGACGTGGAGGAGGAAGCCGGCCCGCTGTTCAACTACAGAGGCACAGTCATCAGCACGAATGTACCACAATCAAACCACCCTTGTACGTAGGGTTGTTAGGGGTGGTTATGGACCCGGATCACAGCAAGAGTTCTCGAAAAGGAACCACTACAATGACGATTATTAAAAAATAATAGCCAGCTGGTGGCCGGAAGGGAGAAGGAGCTGGGGGAATCCAATTTTACCTTTGAAGAGGGAGCTAAGAGCTACCAGGAGCTTTGGCAGCTCTGGCCGTGGCTCATGGCATCGGAACGGGAAGGAAAGGGCGCATTGAGACTCATTGGGCGGCAAATGACTTGTCGAAGCCTTTTCACGGAGCATGTCGAAGACATGAACGTGGTCCAAGGTAGTTATGCAACTGCACGAGCCAATTTCGAAGGTATGGAACGCGTTTCGGGGAGGCTTCGTGTAGGGCCAAGCAGTGACTACGCCTGTTGGCACTCAGCGGTTTAGATGGTTCGCTTAGCCATTGGACATCTACGGCTTTGCGGATGATGGTTCAGCAATCAAGTCTCTCCCAGCCTTTGGCTTAGGCCCCAGACAAGCTCACGCAGACACAGACACACAGACACACAGACACACAGACACACAGACACACAGACACACAGACACACGGACACACAGACACACAGACACACAGACACGCGCACCCACCCACGAGCGCAAGCAGACACTTAATGAGAAGGTGCTGAGCTGGGTCGGACCTTGGGAGCTTGACTGCTTGCAGGTGGAGGTCCCGGTGGCAACAGCTTGGCCTATGGCGCCAACCAGCCCTCGCCCAGGAGTGAGGGTAGGTGGCTGGCTAACTTTAAGGAGGCTTTCCACCTGAAGTTACTGGTATAATTGTTTGTACAAACAAAATGAGGCTACCCCAAAATTGGTGGAACCAAAAGCTTCGAAAAATAGGGAACCCCGTATTTTGACGTCTGCCGAACTTCGAAGGCACAGTCCTGCAAGCCGTGATTCTTGAAATGTGCTTTGTTGATTCTGTGAATTTGGTGAGGATGTGAGCAATTGACAAACTGACTCGTAGTCCATGGAGGGCCCCACGTCTCCCGTGTGAGGGTAGGTTTGTGCGGGCCTATTGGTTTTGTTGTTTTCCGATAGCCCTGGAGCTGTTCCAGCACTTGGCTGAAGCATGAACCTGTTTGTCCAAACTCAGGCAAGCTTCCTCTTATTTTAGTGCCTCCGGCTCAGGCCGCCGACATTACAGGCCTGCTTTCTTATTTGCGTCCCTTTGGAATTGTCCCCTTGCCCCCTTCCCCTCTGAGATTTTTGCCCCCCTTTCTTTGTTGAGATCCATTCCCCCTTTCCGCCCTAAGGCCTTTTCTCCCTCTGATTTTTTCCCTTTTCCTCCCTAAGATGTTTTCCCCCCTCTCCCTGTTGAGATCCTTTCCCCCCTTTCCCCCCTAAGGCCTTTTCCCCCCTGAGATCTTCTCCCTTTTCCTCCCTTTCCCCCACTTTCCCCCCTACGGCCTTTTCCTCCCTGGGATCTTTTCCCTTTCCTCCCTGAGATCTTTCCCCCCCTTTCCCTGTTGAGATCCTTTCCCCCCTTTCCCCCCTACGGCCTTTCCCCCCGCTGAGATCTTCTCCCTATTCCTCCTTAAGATCCTTTGCCCCCTTTCCCTGTTGAGATCCTTTCCCCCCTTCCCTTTAAGGCCTTTCCAGATCTTCTCCCTTTTCCTTCCTAAGATTGTTTCCCCCCTTTCCCTGTTGAGATCCTTCCCACTTTTTCCCCCCTCAGGCCTTTCCCCCCCCTGAGAGCTTCTCCCTTTTCCTTCCTTAGATCTTTCCCCCCTTTCCCTGTTGGCCTTTTTTCCCCCAGATCTTCTCCCTTTCCTCCCTAAGATCTTTTCCACCCCTTTCCCTGTTGAGATCATTTCTCCCCTTTCCCCCCTAAGGCCTTTGCCCCCAGATCTTCTCCCTTTCCTCCCTAAGATCTTTCCCCCCCTTTCCCTGCTCAGATCCTTTCCCCCCTTTCCCCCCTAAGGCCTTTCCCCCCCTGAGATCTTCTCCCTTTTCCTCCCTAAGATCTTTTGCCATTTTTCCCTGTTGAGATCCATTCCCCCTTTCCCCCCTAAGGCCCTTTCTCCCTCTGAGTTTTCCCTTTTCCTCCCTACGATGTTTTCCCCCCTCTCCCTGTTGAGATCCTTTCCCTCCTTTCCCCCCTAAGGCCTTTTTTCCCCCCGCGATCTTCCCCCTTTTCCTTCCTAAGATCTTTTCCCCTCTTTCCTTGTTGAGATCCTTTCCCGCCCTTTCCCCCCTAAGGCGCTTTCCCCCCCAAGATCTTCTCCCTTTTCCTCCCTAAGATCCTTTGCCCCCTGTCCCTGTTGAGGTCCTTTCCCCTCTTTCCCCCCTAAGGCCTTTCCCCCCCTGAGATCTTCCCCCTTGTCCTCCCCAAGATCTTTTCCCTTGGTTGAGATCCTTTCCCCCTTTCCCCCCAAGATCTTCTCCCTTTTCCTCCCTAGGATCCTCTCCCACCTTTCCCTGTTGAGCTCCTTTCCCCCTTTTCCCCCTAAGGCCTTTTCAGATCTTCTCCCTTTTCCTCCCGAAGATCCTTTGCCCCCTTTCCCTGTTGAGATCCTTTCCCCCTTTCCCCCCTAAGGCCTTTTCCCTGCCTGGGATCTTCTCCCTTTCCTCACTGAGATCTTTCCCCCCCCTTTCCCTGTTGAGATCCGTTCCCCTCTTTCCCCCCTACGGCCTTTCCCCCCGCGGAGATCTTCTCCCTATTCCTCCTTAAGATCCTTTGCCCCCTTTCCCTGCTGAGATCCTTTCCCCCCTTCCCTTTAAGGCCTTTCCAGATCTTCTCCCTTTTCCTCCCTAAGATTGTTTCCCCCCTTTCCCTGTTGAGATCCTTCCCAGCCTTTCCCCCCTCAGGCCTTTCCCCCCCCTGAGAGCTTCTCCCTTTTCCTTCCTGAGATCTTTCCCCCCTTTCCCTGTTGGCCTTTTTTTCCCCCAGATCTTCTCCCTTTCCTCCCTAAGATCTTTTCCACCCCTTCTCCCTTTTCCTTCCTGAGATCTTTCCCCCCTTTCCCTGTTGGCCTTTTTTCCCCCAGATCTTCTCCCTTTCCTCCCTAAGATCTTTTCCACCCCTTTCCCTGTTGAGATCATTTCTCCCCTTTCCCCCCTAAGGCCTTTGTCCCCAGATCTGCTCTCGTTCCTCCCTAAGATCTTTCCCCCCCGCCCCCTTTCCCTGCTGAGATCCTTTTCCCCCTTTCCCCCCTAAGGCCTTTCCCCCCTCCTGAGAGCTTCTCCCTTTTCCTTGCTAAATCTTTTCCCCCCTTTCCCTGTTGGGCTTTCCCCCCTAAGTCCTTTTCTCCCAGATCTTCTCCCTTTCCTCCCTAAGATCTTCCCCCCCCCCCCTTTCCTCCCTAAGATCTTTCCCACCCTTTCCCTGTTGAGATCCTTTCCCCCCTTTCCCTCCCAAGGCCTTCCCCCCCCCCCTGAGAGCTCCCTTTTCCTTCCTAAGAGCTTTTCCCCCCTTTCCCTGTTGAGATCCTTCCCACCCTTTCCCCCTGAGGCCTTTCCCCCCTTGAGAGCTTCTCCTTCCTTAGATCTTTCCCCCCTGTCCCTGTTGGCTTTTTTTCCCCCAGATCTTCTCCCTTTCCTCCCTAAGATCGTTTTTCCCCCCTTTCCCTGTTGAGATCATTTCTCCCCTTTCCCCCCTAAGGCCTTTCCCCCCTCCTGAGAGCTTCTCCCTGTTCCTTGCTAAATCTTTCCCCCCCTTTCCCTGCTCAGATCCTTTCCCCCCTTTCCCCCCCCCCCCCCTGAGATCTTCTCCCTTTTCCTCCCTAAGATCTTTCCCACCCTTTCCATGTTGAGATCCATTCCCCCTTTCCCCCCTAAGGCCCTTTCTCCCTCTGAGTTTTTCCCTTTTCCTCCCTACGATGTTTTCCCCTTTCCCCTTTCCCCCTAAGGCCTTTTTTCCCCCCGCGATCTTCCCCCTTTTCCTTCCTAAGATCTTTTCCCCCCTTTCCTTGTTGAGATCCTTTCCCGCCCTTTCCCCCCTAAGGCGTTTTCCCCCCCAAGATCTTCTCCCTTTTCCTCCCTAAGATCCTTTGCCCCCTTTCCCTGTTGAGATCCTTTCCCCCCTTTCCCCCCTAAGGCCTTTCCCCCCCTGAGATCTTTTTCCCGTTGTCCTCCCCAAGATCTTTTCCCTTGGTTGAGATCCTTTCCCCCTTTCCCCCCAAGATCTTCTCCCTTTTCCTCCCTAGGATCTTCTCCCACCTTTCCCTGTTGAGCTCCTTTCCCCCTTTTCCCCCTAAGGCCTTTTCAGATCTTCTCCCTTTTCCTCCCTAAGATCCTTTGCCCCCTTTCCCTGTTGAGATCCTTTCCCCCTTTCCCCCCTAAGGCCTTTTCCCTGCCTGGGACCTTCTCCCTTCCTCACTGAGATCTTTCCCCCCTTTCCCTGTTGAGATCCTTTCCCCCCTTTCCCCCCTACGGCCTTTCCCCCCGCTGAGATCTTCTTCCTATTCCTCCTTAAGATCCTTTGCCCCCTTTCCCTGTTGAGATCCTTTCCCCCTTCCCTTTAAGGCCTTTCCAGATCTTCTCCCTTTTCCTTCCTAAGACTGTTTCCCCCCTTTCCCTGTTGAGATCCTTCCCACCCTTTCCCCCCTCAGGCCTTTCCCCCCCTGAGAGCTTCTCCCTTTTCCTTCCTTAGATCTTTCCCCCCTTTCCCTGTTGGCCTTTTTTCCCCCAGATCTTCCCCCAAGATCTTTTCCACCCCTTTCCCTGTTGAGATCATTTCTCCCCTTTCCCCCCTAAGGCCTTTGTCCCCAGATCTTCTCCCTTTCCTCCCTAAGATCTTCCCCCCCCCCCTTTCCCTGCTGAGATCCTTTTCCCCCTTTCCCCCCTAAGGCCTTTCCCCCCCCTGAGAGCTTCTCCCTTTTCCTTCCTAAATCTTTTCCCCCCTTTCCCTGTTGGGCTTTCCCCCCTAAGTCCTTTTCTCCCAGATCTTCTCCTTTCCTCCCTAAGATCTTCCCCCCCCTTTCCTCCCTAAGATCTTTCCCACCCTTTCCATGTTGAGATCCTTTCCCCCCTTTCCCTCCCAAGGCCTCTCCCCCCCTGAGAGCTTCTCCCTTTTCCTTCCTAAGATCTTTTCTCCCCTTTCCCTGTTGGCCTTTTTTCCCCAGATCTTCTCCCTTTCCTCCCTAAGATCTTTTCCACCCCTTTCCCTGTTGAGATCATTTCTCCCCTTTCCCCCCTAAGGCCTTTTTGCCCCAGATCTTCTGCCTTTCCTCCCTAAGATCTTTCCCCCCCCCCCCAGTTCCCTGTTGAGATCATTTATTTCCCCCCTTTTCCTTCTAAGGCCTTTTCCCACCCTCAGTTCTTCTCCCTTTTCCTCCCAAAGATCTTTCCCCCCCTTTCCTCCCTAAGTCCTTTTCCCTGAGTTCGTCTCCCTTTGCCTCCCTAAGATCGTTTCCCCCCTTTCCCGCTTAAGATCCTTTCCCTCGTTTCCCCCCTAAGGCCTTTTCCCCCCAAGATCTCCACCCTTCTCTTCCCAAAGTCTTTTCCTTCCTTTCCTGTTTGAGATCCTGTCCCCCCATTGCCTTTTAGGGCCTGTTCCCCCCGAGAAAGATTTCCCTTTTCCTCCCAAAGATCTTTTCCCCCCTTTCCCCCTTAAGGCATTTTGTCCCCAGATCTTCTCCCTGTCCTCCCAAAGATCTTTTCCCCCCTTTCCCCCTTAAGGCATTTTGTCCCCTGTCCTCCCTGAGATCTTTCCCCCCCTTTCCCTGTTGAGATCCTTTCCCCCCTTTCCCCCCTACAGCCTTTCCCCCCGCTGAG